AGTGTTTCTACCAGTTGATTTGAAATTAAGTTAACTTGTGCTCCTGAATCTAATAGTGCGTATATTTTTCTGTTTGTTGGATGATGTGATAGTTCAGCAGTTTCCAAAAACGTTAGTGCTATACTTGAAGTACTGGAGTATACTTCTACCCTTACTACGTCTAGTCATAAATTTGCTCAATTTTTGTTGTTATTATTTGCTTCTTCATTTGGTAATTCTATAGCTGGTTGCACTGCTGGTGGTTGTATATAGCTGGTAGTGGAATTGCTTGTTGTGGAATTGCTTGCTGTGGTTCATTTGATACATTTCTCTGTTGATTTAGGGTTGTTAATAGTTGCTGTTGAAGTGGTATGGCAAACATATTTTGGAATTGTGCAATGCTCTGGGCTTGTACCCACATGTTCCTCATTTCTTGAAGAGCTTGATCTACTCCTGTTGTTTCATTCTGTTGCACTGGATTGCTTTCATTTCTGTTGTTATTAAACTTCCAAGAATTAAATGTCCCTCGATTTGGCGATTGGTTACGGAATTGAGTTACACTTTGATTTGTTGGTGGTGGTTCACTGACATAAAATTTACATAGTGTTGTGTAATGTCGAGCATTACATTTTTTACAATTTGTTGGGATTCTACATTGTGCTACCGCATGACCACCGCTTAGACAGTTGAGACATAATCTTTCGTGGTTAACTGCTTTTTGTTTTTCCTCATGTGTCTTTTGGCAGTAGAATATTGAATGTTGTTCTTTACAATATATACATGTGAACCTTCTATTTGGATTTGAGATGTAATTTGGTTTTTGATTATTTCGGAATGTTGGTTGATTTGTTTGAGAATTTTGGTTTCTGGGGGTCATGTTGCTTGTACTTGGCATTTCATTTGGACTTGTGTTATTCGTATTTAGATTGCTTGTGGTTGATTCCGTTTGATTGACTATTGTATGTGATGGTTGAATTTTTTCTCCTGCTCTAAATGAGAGAAGTTTTTGTGTATATTCGGGATCGCGTCTTCGTGCATTGTCTGAAAAAAAACTTAATAACCACCTATATCTTGTTTCTGGGTCTTCTTCCCAAGTGTCTAGTACTTCTTGCGTTAATTCCTAATCGTTTTTCATTGAATTTGTAACGGTTTCCATGAATGTGTCCTGACTCAAATGTTCTAGTATAGATGGCCAGACTTTTCTATGTGTATACTTCCGATCAGTTGTTAAGTTATTCAGACTAATTACTATTTTTAGTACTTCTCTCATGTATTCTGCCGCTTGTTCAAATGACCCGTTTGGAACTGGTAGTTGATCTAATTCTTTGATTAGTTGTTTTTTTAATTTTGTTACGTTACCGTACTCATCAAGTGCTGTTTGTAGCATTCCTAGACAATCGTTTTCTGAAGTTCTTCCTTGGTATTGGATGTAATTCTTTTTAGCCTGTCCGTCAAGATGCATTAAGAATATGTCTATTCTTTCCCGAGGTTTTAATTGATTTTTTGGTGCTTCATGTATAGGACGAAATTTGGTCCAAACCCTCTCAAACAATTGTTCTTCCTCCGGAGTACCACAGAATTGTACGAATGATTTTTGTAACGTTTTTGAGTAATTTTTTATAAATGCTGTTGAATTTTGTCCCTGAAAGTCTAGTTCACTTCCCTTTCCATATCTTTTGATTTCTTCTTTTAAGGGGTTCTTGTTTTCTTCAGTATCGACTCCAAGGTATTTGAGTTTGTTTGCTTTTGTTTGTGATATTACCGGTTGATCTTTCATAGGTGCTAAATGTGTTGAATTGTGAGGGAATGGGTGTACACTTGGTAAGGTTGTGTTTTGGTTCTGTGGGATGCATCCACTTTCGCACATTTTGTTTTGTAAAGTGTTGTTAGCTGTTTGTATTGGTTGAAATGGTGGTATTTTTACTCCTAGAATTGTGTTGAGAGTTGGGCGATAATTCATCCAATTTTCTATTAATTCTTCTATTGGTGCTACAACTATATTCGTGATTTCATCTTGTAGTAATTCGATATTCTGTTGTGAATTTACTTCCAGTGTGTATTTGTCGGTTGTAATTAGCATGGTGAGAACTTCAGACAAATTCTTTTGAATGTTTTTGAATGTGTTTGTTTTGTTTGGTTCGCTTAACACTTGAATTGCCCTATCAGCTTGTTTGATGTTTTGAACAATACGTATAATTAGTGATACTAGTATATGTTTTACGTTTATGGTTGTTATAGTACTATGATATTCTTGAATGTGTTTGTTGTGTATTTCAATTGATTCTACTTCCATAGGTTCTTGTTCTGACTCGTTATTTTGTATTTTGCTTTGATTTTGCACGTTTTCTTGGTTTGCATTTGATTCATTATTCGTAGCTTGTGCGTTACTTTCAACGATTTGAACTGAATTGCTTGGTGGATTTTCAATCGAATCTTGACTCACGACTGGGGGCTCTGGAGCCCCCCTGCTTACTGCTTGACGTTTTGTTCAAACCATCTTGTTGTTTGACGTCGTAGATGAGGCTTGATGCGGGCTTCTCTGGAATGCAACCCAATGCAACTTGTTGTTTGCACTTCACGTATAGCACTTTTTGTAATCTAAATCTTTCAGTTATTTTTACGTTTTTAGTAAGGCTTCTTTTTATTCACGTATTTGGAACTTTTTTTATTTTGAAAATGTAAATTTTAAATCACTTTTGATTTTGAACTTCTTTTGTAATTGCTTTTTTTTTTTTTTAAGGGGGATCGATTACTTTAAAATGCTCTGCTACCACTTTTGTGGCGCACAGGCCACAAAGAACAAAAGTTAGGTCGGAGAAAGTGAATAAAATTGAGGCAAAAATAAGCAAAATGAAACACAAAACACCGCCGGGGAACTTGGCAGGGAGCTTTTTGGTAAAAGCTCCAAAGACAAGATTGAGAATATACAGTCCAACCTCTATAAGTCGAACCTCCCTAAGTCGAAAACCTCCCTAAGTCGAATTTTTCCCCAGTCCCCTTCCAATCCCTTAAAAAATAATGTTTAAAAAACCTCCGTAACTCGAAAAAGTTCATGGGAAACCTCCCTAAGTCGAATTTTTTGTACACAGGGAGGGAAATTTTTTTTACTCCAGGCATTTTTTTGGTGGGGGAGGAGAGCCACTTTAATTTGATGCAGCATCCTCCCCCATTCATTGAACAAAGAGACACTGTTTCCAATGCCTGGGCACCAGAAACAGTGTCTCTTTTACGAAACTGTGTATGATTGCATGAACCCCCTGAGCAGTTCCTCCAGTGCAGTCCCCCTGCGCAGTTCCTTCCAGTTCCTCAAGAGGAACTGGAATATGGATGAAAAACTGAGTTGAAGTAAGGTACCGCGGACGATTTTCATGTCCTTCTTCAACGACAATTCGATTTTTTTTCAAGGAACTTCCAGTTCCTCTTGAGGAACTGGTAGGAACTGCAACGGTGGAATGCACTGGAGGAACTGCGCAGGGGGTTCATGCACTCAAACAGTTTCAGTTCATGCACCCAAAAAAAAGGACATCCAACCCCAATCAAGGGTCCCCTGGGAATCCTTTGTCTGGGGCAGGGCCTAGGTTTTCACCCAAATTTGCATGCCAAAAGTGTTGTCCTCATTTCCAGGAAACAGTTTCAGCTTGCAAGTTTGCACCCTCTGCAAGTTTTTGCATTTTAGCAATTTTTTTTCTTGCAAGTTTGTGAATAGCTGTTTTGCTGGAAGTCAATTCCAATCTGAAAAATGGCCTATCCCCAAAGAAAGGCTTAATTCTAGTGCAAAATGTAATGCAGTTGAACCTTGATAACTCACAAGACTCTATGCTGGGCATTTTTTTGTGGCACATCCTATCTAATTTTTCACAAGCAGTGCACAGAATTTCACAATTTTGTGTGTGTAAAAAATGTTTATTTTCATGGCAAAAATTCATTTTTACAAGCTGTTCCCTGTATATTTTTAAGGTACAGAAATGAATAATTTTTAAAAAGCTGTGCCATGCAGAATATTCTGATGTTATGCCTGCATGCCATGTTACTTTTCATAGGCACAGACCTTGTGAGATTTTTACAGTGTGTGCCATGTCTATTCTCATGGGCCAGACCTAAGTCATCTCTGTTAAAATTCTACAGCTCTGAATAACTTTGTTGTGTTGTCTTCTCTAACCTGTCAGAATAATAAACTAAACGCCTCAATTGCTAGCCAACTGCTTGTAACCCAGAAACTGATTTCCTTATTTATTCTTTTCCCCTCTCTTATTAAAAATTTTTAAAAAGCTGTGCCATGCAGAATTTTCCAATGTTATGCCTGTTTGCCATGTTACTTTTCATAGGCACAGACCTTGTCAGTTTTTTACAGTCTGTGCTATGTCTATTCTCATGGGCCAGACCTAAGTCATCTCTGTGAAAATTCTACAGCTCTGAATAACTTTGTTGTGTTGTCATCTCTAGCCTGTCAGAATAATAAACTTCAAGCCTCAATTGCTAGCCAACTGCTTTACTTCTACTCAGACTTTTATCCATATTCCAATTCCTCTTCAGGAAATCACAGTTTATGAAAGTTCAAAATATTTTTGCATGCTTTTGGAAATGTACTGAAAATTCTGCAATGGAAATGTATAAACTCTTGTCTTGATTCATCCAATATATAATGTGCACAAGCATCAATGAATTTGATCCAAACCAGGTTCCACAGCAAAGTGTGGAGAAGAATTTGAGTTATGCATCTGGAACATGGAGTGTTACAGTTTCTGTGCTGCAAGTGCTGCAAAAATACTGAGGCTGGGAGTGCAGCAGAATTTCTTGGATAATGTGCATTTGAAATCCTGATGAATTGACCCAATTTAATTCTTGGTCAATTCAGCAGAAAAGAAGAAGTTTGGTAACTTTGGGGGTAGCTGGCTTCCATTTTTGAAAAGTGTTGGTCAGCATTCCCAGATGGCTTAAGCCTTTTGTGTGGTTTTCTTCCTGGTTGATCTTCTGTATGCCGCACTGTACTCCTGGGGTCCCAGTGAAAGTTGAAGTCATAAATGCTGGACTATTCCTTTTTTTTCTCACTCCTTCCTGAGGTTGGCATGTCAAAGAATCTCTGACATGGAGTAATTGTTTGTTGCCCTTGGTTTTTTTTTACTGTGCAGGGGGTTCATGCACTCATACCCAGTTTGGTAAAAAGAGACACTGTTTTTGGTGCCCAGGCTCTCTTTTTTCAAGAAACAGTGTCTCTTTTTTCAATGAATGGGGGAGGATGCCGCATCAAATTAAAGCGGCTCTCCTCCCCCACCAAAAAAATGCCTGCAGTAAAAAAAATTTCCCTCCTTGTGTACAAAAAATTTGACTCAGGGAGGTTTCCCATGAATTTTTTCAAGTTAGAGAGGTTTTTTAAACATTATTTTCTAAGGGATTGGAAGGGGACTGGTGAAAAATTTGACTTAGGGGGGTTTTTGAATTAGGGAGGTTTGACTTATAGAGGTTGGACTGTAATACCCACGCGTATTTCTTAGTCTGGGAAGTTTGTTGATTATATAAAGACAGCAGGAAATATTGCCAAGCACAGGCGGACAAAGCTTGATGTTTTGTGACCATACCAATGTTATGTTTTGTATGCTGTGTCTATTTTGAGTCAAATATTCCACACTGAATCATTTGTTGTTGTTGGATTCTTCCTAATTGTATATTTGGGATCGTTGATTGCCAGCTTTACTTGGGCGTGGTTCTTTCTGGAGTTGTCATCATCACAGGATTGTTTTCCTACTACCAAGAAGCCAAGAGTTCCAGGATTATGGATTCCTTCAAGAACATCTTACCACAGGTGAATCTTCATTGATTATTCACTTTTACATTTGTGTGTGTGTGTCTGTGTCTTTCTGCTATATACAAGAAAAAATATTTTTTTATTTCTCTCTGTATAAGAGATAATTCTCTCTGTTTTATTCTCTCTGAAATGTAAACATATTTAAATATTCCAACCTGAGGTCTTGACACAAAAATTAAGGTTTCTAGACTTTCTACCTTTTCAGTGCTCATGATGGAAGTACAATTTTTCAAAATTATATCAAGTTTTCCACCGGAGGATTACTTAAGCAAGCATGCAGCCATAAATATGAACCAAGTTTTCATGCGCAATTTCCCTAGAGATTTTAAGTTTTTTTTTTTATCATAAGCTCACCACGAAATGGATCAATCATGGGATGTATAAATCAATCGTTACTGCATCATAATCCGCTCTTTTTCTCTTTTTTTTTTCTTCAAAAAAAATGATGTAGTATGCAACAGTGTTCCGCCAGGGACAGAAGATGACTGTGAGAGCAGACGACCTGGTCCTGGGCGACATCGTAGAGGTCAAGTACGGGGATCGTGTGCCAGCTGACCTGAGGATCATCCACGCGGACGGATTCAAGGTCGACAACTCGTCCTTGACCGGCGAGTCCGAGCCACAGTCCCGCTCGGCCCACTCGTCGCACCCCAGCCCCCTGGAGACAAGCAACCTCGTTTTCTTCTCGACCTTCGCTGTTCAAGGTTGAGCATATAAAAAGTATCGGATGAGCAGACGGCGAAAGAGTATACAGACATTTTGAATTAATAATAAAAAAAACATAAACTGGGCTTCATTGAGTATAACTTAATCGCATCCAGCTAGTGCTGGCTCGTTAGTCAAATAGTTATTCATTTATTGTGCAAGACACGATAGATTCCCCATATAATTCCTTGTGGGAAATTCAATCAAGTCGTTCCAGCATGAAAGGAAGAAAATGATTGTTGAAAGTTTCAGAAACTGACAAGAACCAAAATTGAATATTTTATATTGAAATTGTACTTGAAAATGTTTGAAAACATAATTCTTCTGCATCAGAGACACAGAGGAAATTCTGAAATTTCTAAAAATTCACATTTACCCCATGAAATTTCCACTTGATGCATACCATCTGTGGCTGAAATGTCACAAAAAGGCAGAATTTTGAAAATGAAACACCAGAATCAGCTGTGGGGTTCAGCTGGGGATCTCTTTTTATGAGATCCCAAAAGAGCAGATAAAAACTGTATTTCAAATTGTTTTACCCCCATTGATCACAGGTACAATAAAAATCACACAAGAAATCAGAGGGATTGAAGTTAATTTGATAACAGTTGGTGCCAGACTGTCTCAGGAATGATGAATATTGAAAAATGTTGAAAGAGTGACCTTCCATGGTTTTTTGTTCTCTTCCCTTCCAGGAATCTGCAGAAAACAGGAGTGAAGTCTCAAATGTTCTAGATTAATCAAAATAAATCTTCAGACAAATTTCTCCTATGGTTTGCAGTACTTTAATGTACCAAATTATTCTGCCACACCATCTTTCATTTCAATTTGAGAATATACTGTCATGAACAGTAAAATGTATATTTTTCATATAACTTTTGGCATTTCTTCTTCCCCATTTGATGTGGGTTGATTGAGGTAGAATGGCTGTTGAACCCAGGTTTGCTGTGTGCAATGTTTGCTACTCAAGTTATTCCTTACTGAAGTCCCCACTATACTGTATGTACAAATGGAAATTACAATGTAGAGGGGCCACCATTACCAAAAAACGTGGAGACGTCCAGAGACGAAAGTTCATCAAGATTATACTTTTATGATGGGTATTACTTTTCTGAATTATCGTTGTGTTATAAAGTAATACAGTACTTAAGGACATGAATCTTGAACAGCATTGGTTTGAAGATCACCATTCCTTTTTGTAAGTCTGAAGTATCAGAACAGTGAAAACCTTATTCAGGAAACGAAATTGTATGGGCTCCAGCAATCAATTTGTTGCTTGAGACGTTTGTTATCTGAAAAATTACAATATTAACCTTAATAGTGAATCATTTTTAGCTTGAGCATAAAATGAATTCCAGATAAAATAACAAAAGTGACTGAATTTTTTCAATGGACAAGAAAATTGAGAACACTTTTATTACTGATAATTTCAGTTCGAAATTATTGACAGCAGCCAAATTAGACACCATACACAGGGGATCAAAACTAGCAAGTACAAAGGGCACCCAACCATGTGGATGTGATTGATTGCATGGACTTTGTTTGTGTATTGGAACATTTACATTTTGCATCACATTTTCTCATGTATGGAAAAAATACTGTACATGAAAAGAGAAGCAAACAATTTCATTTTTTATCGTGAATTGGAGTACATTAATATTTAGCTCTATTTTTCATTTTATTCATAGAAATTCCATAACTCGTCTATTGAAAAGATATGAATATATTTAAAAATGCTCCTCTCCATTTTTCTAGGAATTTGGCAAAATGTCCATATATTAAGGCCTTGCTTAACCTTTGTGGCATGAAGTTGGGATATTTTCGCCAAATTTTGTCTCCATGAGCTTTGCAAGAAAAAAAAAAATCTGATTTTTGAACCAAGGCATAAGTCAGAGAAAATTCCAATTTTATTTATAAGCCTGTGGAGAATCTATCCTCAAAATAAAAAAAAGAATTCTTTACTGGGGGGGGGGGCGTTTTTTAAACATTACCTGGACAGTATTAACAATGGGGATTTCTTGAGACAATTGGATTTTCTGCACCCAGAATTTCCCAGACTTAGGCCTTGGCAACCTGGGGTCATTTCAGAGACCTTCAGTTAAACTGAAATGCCCCCCCCCCCCACAAATACCAACTTTGCCACAGGATGGCCAGGAACCCTCTATCATCCAAGGATTGAGCCCGATTTTTTTCAGCTGCAAGTGTCCCAAATTCAAAATGAGCACAATTGAGGCATTTGTATGTTTGTGACCCATTTTTTGTAAGTACTTAATCAAAAGTAATGTATCCAAGTAGAGTATTTGAGTGCAGTGATTGATGACAAACTGTATTATGGATGAGCTTAAGCTTCACTTGTTCCTGCGAGTAATGGGAGAACATCAATTTTCTATCCTTAAATACAGGAACTTGCAAGGGCCTGGTGGTTCAAGTCGGCGACGAAACCTTCATGGGTCAGATCGCTGGCTTGACCACCGCACTGAAGACTGGACCGACTCCCATTGCCGTGGAGCTTGATCACTTCATTTTCATCATCACTGCTGTTGCCGTCATGTTTGGAGTCTTGTTCTTCATCATTGCTATCATTTTGGGTTACAATTGGCTGGATGCTGTCATTTTCCTCATCGGAATAATAGTTGCGAATGTGCCTGAGGGCATATTGCCAACCGTCACGGTGACTGCTTGAAACTTTGTCAGGCGCTTCCACTCCCTTTTGTTTTCGTTTGTCAAACTGATGCTTCGTATTTGATTTGAGTGCTGTATGCTGACCTCCATTGGCTAGGGCCAAAACAAAAATTGCATTACAGCTTGACAAGTTCTAATATCAAACATGAACTTCAGTTATTAAAGAATCTTGAATCAAGACAAGCAGGAAGAGCCTTGGGTTGAGCAGATCCTTGCTCAACAAAATGCCAAGCATGCAAAAAAATATTTACGCTAAAACATATTTTGGAGTGGGAAAATTCACTTGAAAAACATAACTTTAAAAATACTCTTGTCCACATTATAGCCAGAAAATAAAACTATGTGAATGTACAAGATATCATACAATGCATATTTTCACTTGCAATCAATAAAAATTCTCTAAACAAGATGTTTTGAAGGAAGTCTTGCTAAACATTTGCAAATTTTTCTCAGAATACACTGCAATGAACTCTAGATTAATTTTCAGGAATGTTTTGGGGGTAGGAAATATTTATACCTAGCTCAACACTTCTGCAGCAAAGTTGGACTTTTTTCTCAGATTTTGGTAGCACTCAAGAGTGGAATAAAAAAAACCACAACACTTTGTGCAGGGCGAAGTCAAGAAAAAATCCTGGCATTTTTTAAATTTTCCACAGAAAATTTTCACCTGAAAATGAAAAAATGGAAACTTCAAGGCTCCCCTTTTTTCCCCTGGCCTTGTGTTGTTCCCCCATTCAAAGATTAAATTTAAGCTTGAAAGCCAGGAGCCCAGGTTAGAGGTCAATGCGGAAAAAGTCCAACTCAGGACTTTCCCAGAATTTCTTTATCCCTGGATAAAATCCAACTTTGCCGTCCCCCACCTGGAAGGGGTTGCATAACCTTGTGCAAAAATATAATGCAGGCCCATCAGGAAAAAGTCTGACTTTGCCCTGGGATGGAAAGAAGGCTGCCGTTGTCCAAGGGTTAATTCATGGAATTAAGGGCAAATGAGATTACTTTACACCAATGTGAGCTCCAGGATCCATGACTACACTTGTTGATACCTTCAAATATATGCAATATGATTAAGCATCACATGCACAAATACACACAAAGGTATTTCCTTTTGGAATTTGTATTTCAAAAGGAGTAGCTGCTCCAATCATCACTGTCTGCAGTGAGAGAAAAGTATATTTATTTGCTGTATATATGTACATACATGTGGGCAAGGTAAGGATAATGAAACTAAAACAAGGAAGCAGCTGCAGGGGAGAAAACTTGAATTTTTCCTTGAACAGGAAAAAAGGTAATTTAGGTTGATGGGGTTAGAGTTAGACGTGCAACAAGTGCAAATGTTTCTAGGTTGAAAACCCCTTGAAAATTCATGGACAAAAATTACATGAACTTTTGCAAGTTCTACAAATGAACTTTTGAATTTTTAATCAAGGCCAAACCTTTCAATGAAATAAGGAGCGAAAACATTGGGGAAATATTTAATTTTCTATATACATTAGTCCCTCCAGCAGCTAAAGGAGGCAGTTGAAAAAAAAATGACAGTCTATAATTGGCAGCATAACTTGAACATGGTTCTCCTCTCAAATCGCAGGTGTGCTTAGCATTGACTGCAAAGCGAATGGCATCCAAGAACTGTCTGGTGAAGAACCTGGAAGCCGTGGAGACTCTCGGGTCCACGTCGACCATTTGCTCAGACAAAACCGGCACCCTGACCCAAAACAAGATGACTGTGGCCCACTTTTGGATAGACAACCACATCGTGGCTGCTGACACCACGGAGGACCACTCCGGCAATCAATTCGACATGGAAAATTCTGGCTGGCTTGCCTTATCCCGAGCTGCGGCCCTTTGCAACAGGGCCGAGTTCAGGCCACAGAGTCGACCCAGGGCCTCAGTGCATCAGATGTAAGATCCGAGACTCACTCATTATCACAAAATTCATCCTGAAACATAAATTTGACTATACACTACTATATACTGTAACCCCTTGGTAATAGCAGACAACTCAAAAACTGCTGCTGTATACGAGGTAACAGTGCACGCATTTTTGCAGAAAAGTGCATTGTTGTATTGTCGGTTCTAACATGAATTACGAAGCTTGATTTTCCTTTTTTTGATAATCAAATCCCGTCAAAGTTCAAGAAACCAGGAAAAATTCCATTCATTATAGGAGGGTTTAGACTTATAAGAAAGTTCCAATTTAGGTGCCATTTGAGTAAGGGAAATAAAAACAAGGATTTCTGTTGTGGTAAACATTGCAAATTTACAGGTAATTGCAGATGGTGATGAAGTTTTCTGGGCCTTAAATTGCTTCCTGTATGAGTTGACACAATGCTGAACTTGGAAGCAAAGGTTAATTACCCCAATCAGCCCTTCTCTTACTTTCACAGAAAAAAAGTGCTGACTGCTGTTCTGAAATTCAAGTTCAGTGCGGTACGTGTACTTCGTTAGGAATGCACATTTTGATGCCAATTTGAGCATTGGTCAGAAGACTGAGAACAGATGTTGTGGGTTTTTTTTCTTTTCTTTTTTTTTTGCAGTGAAGTGGATGGAGACGCCTCAGAAGCGGCGATTCTCAAGTTCACCGAAATCACGATGGGCGACGTGGCGGGCTACAGGAAAAAACACAAGAAAGTTTGCGAGATTCCCTTCAACTCCACCATCAAATACCAACTCAGCATTCATGAAAGCCTGGATGATAAGGACCAATTCGGCCATGTGCTCGTCATGAAGGGGGCACCCGAGAAAATTCTGCAGCTCTGCAAAACCATCTTCATCAATGGAAAGGAAGTCGAAATCACCGACGAGATCAGGGATGACTTTGAAAACGCGTATTTGGAGCTGGGGTCACTCGGGGAACGAGTCTTGGGTAATTCATCATGATTCCTTTCCTATATTTAACGTCAACCTGAAAAAAAGGAAGGGGAAAGGGGAGCTACTAACTCCTCAAAACAGTGTCTATAAAAGACAAATATACAGTGAGACCCTGAGATGCGGACATAATTGGTGCATCAAGAGTGTCCCTAAGTCAAGTCTCATTTTCCCTTAGACTTATACATTATATAATTTTTAATCTGTGTTTCATGTACAAAATGCTCACCATAATTCCATGAAAATAAAAGTTGTCTCCCAATTTAAACTGATTCAATAAATATATTTCAACACAATATGGACATTTAGGGAATTGAATACTGATACCTCTGTACTGTGCATAGAAATGTTGGCAGTATCTGTAAAAATAACATTCGAGTGAAAAAGAGAGAAGGAAGTCCCTCTTTGCCAGAGGTAATTTTTTTAAATCAGCTAAATGGAGGGTACATTGGTGAGAGAAATGTCTCAAAAAGAACCTAAGTAAGAACTTTTCTTTCATCAATTTTATGGTTGGAAATATATTTTTCTTGTAAGTTGGCCTGAAATGTACTTGCAATGCCATATCGAATTGTCCCCCATGTCAAGTCAGCATCCTCACATCAGGCCTTTTTATTAATTTTGTATGGAAAAATAAGTGTCCCTATGTTGAATTGTCCACAGGTTAAGGTGTCTGCATGTGGGGGTCTCACTGTACTGTGGAAATTCAACCGTATCCAAAAGTTTTTCAGATCTAGGAAATACAGCAGAACAATGCTGCACTGCAGCTGGAGCAATTTTTAAGATAACAATTTCAGAAGGTTAAAATGAACTCCTTGGGGATGAAACAATAAAATGATTAGTTTTTTAAAATTCCCGTATTTTACTCGAGTGCCATGCGCATATTTTTTCGAAAATTGGGATCAAAAAGTGCATGGCAGACCCTGAATCTTTCACATTTTCAAGAATTTATATCGTAATCATTGGTAAATCAACCATTAAGAAATTCCAAATCATTAATAGTCAATTTCTCAGATCTGATTTCCGTCAAAAGAATCGTAGTATAGCAGCTGAATTGTGCCAGATGATGAAATAAAACTACAGAAGCATTAAATAGTATAAAAAAGGTGAAGGTGTTCTCTGCTTCNAATTTTTAATCAAGGCCAAACCTTTCAATGAAATAAGGAGCGAAAACATTGGGGAAATATTTAATTTTCTATATACATTAGTCCCTCCAGCAGCTAAAGGAGGCAGTTGAAAAAAAAATGACAGTCTATAATTGGCAGCATAACTTGAACATGGTTCTCCTCTCAAATCGCAGGTGTGCTTAGCATTGACTGCAAAGCGAATGGCATCCAAGAACTGTCTGGTGAAGAACCTGGAAGCCGTGGAGACTCTCGGGTCCACGTCGACCATTTGCTCAGACAAAACCGGCACCCTGACCCAAAACAAGATGACTGTGGCCCACTTTTGGATAGACAACCACATCGTGGCTGCTGACACCACGGAGGACCACTCCGGCAATCAATTCGACATGGAAAATTCTGGCTGGCTTGCCTTATCCCGAGCTGCGGCCCTTTGCAACAGGGCCGAGTTCAGGCCACAGAGTCGACCCAGGGCCTCAGTGCATCAGATGTAAGATCCGAGACTCACTCATTATCACAAAATTCATCCTGAAACATAAATTTGACTATACACTACTATATACTGTAACCCCTTGGTAATAGCAGACAACTCAAAAACTGCTGCTGTATACGAGGTAACAGTGCACGCATTTTTGCAGAAAAGTGCATTGTTGTATTGTCGGTTCTAACATGAATTACGAAGCTTGATTTTCCTTTTTTTGATAATCAAATCCCGTCAAAGTTCAAGAAACCAGGAAAAATTCCATTCATTATAGGAGGGTTTAGACTTATAGGAAAGTTCCAATTCAGGGGCCATTTGAGTAAGGGAATCAAAAATAAGCTTTTCTGTTGTGGGAAACATAGCAGATTTACAGGTAATTGCAGATGGTGATGAAGTTTTTTGGGCCTTAAATTGCTTCCTGTATGAGTTGACAGGATGCTGAACTTGGAAGCAAAGGTTAATTTCCCCAATCAGCCCTTCTCTTACTTTCACAGAAAAAAAGTGCTGTCTGCTGTTCAGAAAGTCAAGTTCAGTGCTGTACGTGTACTTCGTTAGGAATGCACATTTTGATGCCAATTTGAGCATTGGTGACTAAGAACTGAGAACAGATGTTGTGGGTTTTTTTTCTTTTTTTTTTGCAGTGAAGTGGATGGAGACGCCTCAGAAGCGGCGATTCTCAAGTTCACCGAAATCACGATGGGCGACGTGGCGGGCTACAGGAAAAAACACAAGAAAGTTTGCGAGATCCCCTTTAACTCCACCATCAAATACCAACTCAGCATTCATGAAAGCCTGGACGAAAAGGACCAATTCGGCCATGTGCTCGTTATGAAGGGGGCCCCCGAGAAAATCCTGCAGCTCTGCAAAACCATCTTCATCAATGGAAAGGAAGTCGAAATCACCGACGAGATCAGGGATGACTTTGAAAACGCGTATTTGGAGCTGGGGTCCCTCGGGGAACGAGTCTTGGGTAATTCATCATGATTCCTTTCCTATATTTAACGTCAACCTGAAAAAAAAGGAAGGGGAAAGGGGAGCTTCTAACTCCTCAAAACAGTGTCTATAAAAGACAAATATACAATGAGACCCTGAGATGTGGACATGATTGGTGCATCAAGAGTGTCCCTAAGTCAAGTCTCATTTTCCCTTAGACTTATACATTATATAATTTTTAATCTGTGTTTCATGTACAAAATGCTCACCATAATTCCATGAAAATAAAAATTGTCTCCCAATTTAAACTGATTCAATAAATATATTTCAACACAATATGGACATTTAGGGAATTGGATACTGATACCTCTGTACCGTGCATAGAAATGTTGGCAGTATCTGTAAAAATAACATTCAAGTGAAAAAGAAAGAAGGAAGTCCCTCTATACCAGAGGTAATTTTTTTAAATCAGCTAAATGGATGGTACATTGGTGAGAGAAATGTCTCAAAAATAACTTAAGGAAGAACTTTTCTCAATTTTATGGTTGGAAATATATTTTTCTTGTAAGTTGGCCTGAAATGTATTTGCAATGCCATCACAAATTGTCCCCCATGTCAAGTCAGCATCCTCACATCAGGCCTTTTCATTAATTTTGTATGGAAAAATAAGTGTCCCTATGTTGAATTGTCCACAGGTTAAGGTGTCTGCAAGTGGGGGTCTCACTGTACTGTGGAAAGTCAACCATATCCAAAAGTTTTTCAGATCTAGGAAATACAGCAGAACAATGCTGCACTGCAGCTGGAGCAATTTTTAAGATAACAATTGCAGAAGGTTAAAATGAACTCCTTGGGGATGAAACAATAAAATGATTAGTTTTTTAAAATTCCCGTATTTTACTCGAGTGCCATGCGCATATTTTTTCGAAAATTGGGATGAAAAAGTGCATGGCAGACCCTAAATCTTTCACATTTTCAAGAATTTATATCGTAATCATTGGTAAATCAACCATTGAGAAATTCCAAATCATTATTAGTCAATTTCTCAGATCTGATTTCCGTCAAAAGAATCGTAGTATAGCAGCTGAATTGTGCCAGATGATGAAATAAAACTACAGAAGCATTAAATAGTATAAAAAAGGTGAAGGTGTTCTCTGCTTCTATTTGAAATTGTTTGCTCCTCAATATTTTATATATCATAAATGTCCCTCACGCGATAACCATTTTTCTTGCTCTTTTTTTTTTCTGCAGGGTTCTGTGACTTCAAGCTTCCCGTGGACCAGTACCCAAAGGGGTACGAATTCGACACGGAGGCCATGAATTTCCCCAGCGACGGATTCCGTTTCGTTGGACTCATGTCCATGATTGATCCCCCGAGGGCAAGTGTCCCTGATGCTGTGGCCAAATGCCGAACTGCAGGGATCAAAATCATCATGGTGACTGGGGATCATCCCATTACTGCAACGGCCATTGCCAAGGCAGTCGGCATAATTTCCCCCGGTGAATATTAAAAAAAAAACAAAGCCAGAAATTCGCATTGCCTAATTTCATATTTATTTTAAAAAAAAATACGATCTGCAAATACTCCAATTAATATACAAGCTTCCAACATTTGTTGAGGAACAACCTTGATCAATGATTCGCGCTTCGATATTCGATGAATCTTGTCCTCTGCAATTACAAACCCCTCAATCAACAAGATCGTTATTTGACCTTGACCTGCGCAGGGAGTCACACCCGAGACGAACTCGCCCAGAAGCTCAATGTGCCCATTTCCCAAGTGGACCCGAAGGAGGCCAAGGCCTGTGTTGTTCACGGACAAGAATTGCGCCATTTGTCATCCGAAGAGCTGGATTTCATCCTCGAAACTCACTCGGAAATCGTATTCGCGAGAACATCTCCTCAGCAAAAACTCATCATTGTAGAGAGCTGCCAGAGACTCGGGGCCATCGTCGCAGTCACTGGGGATGGCGTGAACGACTCACCAGCGCTGAAAAAGGCTGACATCGGTGAGTTGACATGCTGATACGATTCGTTATTCATCACTCGATCCAAAAGCCAAACTGAGATGAGGGTGGGCAATAATTGCTTTCTCATCATTACATTACTCAGGAGCAATCATTCCTTCGAATTTTATCCAAAGGGTGCCACAGCAAAAGTTCCCGTTCATTGGATCAATACAATAAATTTGAAAAATACAAAGAAAGAACAATGATAAAACCTGGGACAATTCAGAGGCATATTGATAAGTCTCTTGGTAATCTTTACATATATTACTGTCTTTACTCAAGTAAAACATGCCCTCTAGCAAGTAAGAAATACACCAAGATTTTTTCAGTCAATCCTATTCTATTGACTCTAAAATATTTCAAAAATAAGAACTCCCAGATTTTAATTCACATGCTCATTATCCTGAATTCAACTCATGATCAATTTATGCCATTGCAATACATTTTTTTCCGTGAAACGCTTGTCAAAAAGGTTCCAATGATAAAATCTACAATAATTCTGTAGGCTGTTTAGGGCAAATAAGGCCCATACAAAAATGAAAATTGATGCAATCAATAAATAAGAACATACAATCCGCCCAGGAACAGGGCAGGGGATTCTTCAATATGAATCCCAGAAGACATAAGAGCAAATTGATTTCATTTAAAAAGCCTTCAATCAAGAATCAGTCACAAATCTTTCAATATTTCAACAGACAGCAGTTCTTTAGACAACTGAATGCAATGGCAAGATCAGAGAGACTGCATAAATTAGGAGGAAAACAACTTTGAGGAAGAAGAGAAATGCACAATGAAAACTGGATGGGAAAAAGGGTGTTGTGCTGCTTATGAATAAATGAATGAATGAACAGAAAAGCTTTATTTTCTGCTTTTTAGCATTCACAAGGTTCAATCAACATTCCCACATCCAAACCCCTCCCCACCCAACCCAAATCCATTCAATAACTTTAAAATGATAAACAGAAAAAAGCTGCATATAGATACCAAAATAAAAGAAAAGAATGAATGGGTGTATGCATACATGTTGGATCTCCAGTTGTATTTCATTGATTGTATCTTCTTTTATTTATTTTTATCAATTTGTGCTCTGTTTCCTGCTCTGAAGTGATTAAATGTCATTGAGTGGATTTGGGTTGGGTGGGAAGGGGGTTTGGTTGTGGAAATCTTGATTGAACCTCGTGAATGCTCAAAAGCAGCAAATAAAGTGTTCTGTTCATTCATCCATTCAAGAAAATACATTCCACAAAGTACAACTGCAAAACTAATATGTATGCATACCCCCCCCCCCTTCTTTCTCTGACATTGAAAACAAAATATCAGTAACAAGAATTGCAGCATAAGCCAGAATTAAAGCAATTGCAGCAGTTACTGAACCAAATTCAAAGCACAAGGTGTTCAGCCTGTTTCCAAATAAGGTTCAGTCAAATGATCAATTTAGTGAATGCTGATTATTACCTGATCACTAGGAATTCACAGTGATCATGTGATGCACACTTCTGTGCATCAACTTTCTTTGGTACCTGGCATCTTGTAGGATGCAGGGAACCAAATTGTTTCCTACAAATGCACATTTAAACTTCCAAAACTTTTTTTAATTCATACCCATCTATGAAAAACACACCTGAAGTCCCCTTTTTCCCTACCAGTTTTGACAACAGAGGTGCACAAGGTACTCAAGTAAAAACAAAAAAGTCCCAGCAAATGAAAGACAGACAAATCCAAACAACTTTGCAACTTCATGCAATGAACAAACTTTGGTCTGATAAAATTGCAAGATAAGCTCAATGTTAAAGCTGTGATCAAGAGGTTTTTTTTCAAAATGGGTTTGATCCAGCACTAATAAACTGAAAATTACATTTCTTTTTTTAACCATATGACTGATCAAGAAATCAAAAACTATGTGACATTAGTGTCTCTTGGAAATTTGGGAGGAGACGCTGTTCCTATTGGAGTTTTTATTGGAAGGTATTATTTTTGCACGTCATCGATTTTGACTCAATTTAACGGATGTATCTTAACAAACACTCTAAACAAAATTACCTCTTTCTTTCTTTTTTTCTTTCTTTTCATTTTGCCTACAGGGATTGCAATGGGGATTGCGGGTTCAGACGTGGCGAAACAAGCAGCAGACATGATTTTGCTGGACGACAACTTCGCGTCCATCGTCACGGGCATTGAAGAGGGTCGTGTCATTTTTGACAATTTCAAAAAGTCCATCGCCTACACGCTGCGTTCGAACGTGCCGGAGTTGTGTCCTTTCTTGCTGTTCATCATCGCGGATGTGCCATTGCCTCTGGGCACCATCGCCATTTTGTGCATCGACTTGGGCACCGACATGGTGCCCGCCATCTCATTGGCTTACGAGAAGGCGGAGTCGGACATCATGCGACGACCGCCCAGGGATCCGCACAAGGACAAGCTGGTGAATGAGAGGTGATGAGAGACGACTTGTTTGTCTAATGAATACTGTAATGTTCTTGAAAGTACAGTACTGTACTTCCGATGATCGTCAAATCAGATTGATTGATTCTATAGTGACTCGCAATTTCTGTTCATTGTTTATACTGTAAAAATGAACTCCTGAAATACTGTAAGATTATTGTACCAAATTTACTGTACTGTTTTTTAAAGTACCGTTTTTTAATGTAATTTAATGCACTGTTCTTTCTTCCTTGTGGAGAAGTGTTTCAGGCGTCCGAGCTGAAACACTGCAGCTGACGCGATACTGTACTGCAAATATTTTAAAACAAAAATCTTGCAGACTTTTACAACAACGTTTTTTGTGGATCGAGTTCTGTGAGAATATGATTATGTGCTTAAAGGAATCTCACAAAGAGGGAAATGATAGATATGAATTAAATAACTTTGAATCAGCTGAATGCTTGGAAAGATGCTTTGGTTTTGGCAAAGTTTGTCAAGTAAAAATCAGTGCTTATGAAACTCAAGAATTGCTTGGGATGAAAGAAAATACTTTTGAGCAGCTGGGCTGTGGCCAGGACAATTTTTTCCTAGTGTAAGATGGTTTATTTTGAGAATTGGAATTTCAACTGAGTTCACTGTTCAGAATTTTGCAAGACACGCAGAAAGCTTCTCTTCACAGAGATCCACTTGGGTTTGCAAATCAAATGCAAGTGTTTTAATCAAGAGAGTTTAGGAATCAGGAAAAGAAGAGTTGAAGGACAAGGGATATGAAAGCTGATAGTTTATTCAGAAATGTCCTTGCTGGGCCTGTAGGAACCAAACTCAGGTTTGGTTCACATGCTCCAGCAGAAGCTTCAAAATTTTTCAAACAATTAAGGAATAAAAATTGCTTGTCTGGTGCCAACTAATTGGGTTGCCAAAATTTATTCCAACAAGTTCGTTGACTATTTTTCTTCCCAACATTGTATGCCTTTTCATTGTAATTCAAGGACCTCCAGATTTAAAAATTCCAAATCTCTGGCTACTTTGCTCAGGCCTTAAGTTAAACCCTTGACTCAAAACATTTTTGTTCAAATCCAGGTTGGTCAAAACAAAGGCATGTTTTCAAAGCTTTTTTCCAGGTGAAAATACAAGATTTTGTTTTCCCTCCTCTGAACAATACTGTAAAGGATTAGGCACCTTCATTTTGTCAGGAAATTTGCGAAAATTGAAAACCTAGAGTAATTCGACCATATGGATAATTTTGATTGACTATATAGCCTGAACAGATGAAGCTCTTTCTTCAAAAATGCTGTCAAAATTTTGTCGAGTATCTTGATGAAGAGGTTCCACAATCTAAAATGAATTTTCATCCGTAATAAGTTCAAAAAAGCTTTTCTTTTTTCCTGATATATTTCTGGGAATTTCCATTTTGATTGAAATCTCTGAAATTTTCGCAAACTTTTCTCTTTCTTTTGAAAGACGCCAAATATATGCATAAATTTCTCCTCTGGTCAGGTAAACAAAACCCTCGACAATTTTTACTTGCGTGCGTAAAGTAATGCGATGCATTTTTATTACAACAAATTTTATATTGGTCCCCGGATGTGTTTTTGAACAGGATTTTGTCTTCATCTATATACTTGTATGAGTCTCGTTGAAACTGTCACAAAAATCCCTGTGTGTGATGAGAGAGACTTGTAAAAGCTGCATGTCAATACTGGAAATCTCGGCATCTGTATACATTGATCTCACTTATAAAATGTCCAATTTCTGGGAATCGAACTGAAATTCTCGGCAACAACAACAACAAGAAGAACAAGGATCAAACTGATGTTCTTCTCTGCTCGTTTAATCTCCCATTTATTCCAGACTCGTGCTGATGGCCTACGCTCAGATCGGAGTCATCGAAAGCTGCGGCGCATTCATGACCTACTTTGTCATAATGGCAGAGAACGGGTTCTTGCCCAGCAAACTGCTCGGACTGCGATCAGCCTGGGACAACAAGGCAGTGAACGACCTGGAAGATTCCTATGGCCAGGAATGGACATACAAGGACAGGAAGATACTCGAGTCCACCTGCCACACAGCCTTTTTCGTGTCCATCGTCGTGACGCAATGGGCGGATTTGATCATCTCCAAAACGCGGAGGAATTCCATCTTGGAGCAAAAAATGGAGTGAGTAGTGTTGGAAAGCATGTTTTTTTCACCAGAAAAATATACAGGAATCGTGTTCAAATACAATTCCCATGTTGCCAATATACCAAATTACTATAAATAGTTGAGTGGACGGGTTATCCAAAAAATAATAAATACTGCACTGTTGTCCAACAATCGATCCCTGAATAATAACACAAGACCAACCCACAAGCACGATGACAAACATGCGTTATAAATACTGTATTATCCTTTAAAAAAGTCAAATCAGTCAAGCTTCCAAAAGAGAAACCAATAGTGTCATCAAATATCTGACTTAATTTCCCAAAGCTGTGAATTATATATTCAATATCAAAATATCATCTCTGTGAATGAAAAAGAATGTTGGAAATATGGGTACTTTCCTGTTATCTCAGTACCCATTTTTCTTTGTCCTTGTGAATTCAGTATTCATTAGGTTAGGTTAGGTCAGGTTATGTTAATTGAAAGAAATTTGTAACTAACATAACCTGACCTAACCTAACTTCACCTAACTGCCTCCAATAATCAGTTTCTGCTTTGTTTGGGTTTCTGCTGAAACTTATTTTGGGAGGCGGTTAGGTAAAGTTAGGTTAGGTCAGGTTATGTTAANAATTATCCATATGGTCGAATTACTCTAGGTTTTCAATTTTCGCAAATTTCCTGACAAAATGAAGGTGCCTAATCCTTTACAGTATTGTTCAGAGGAGGGAAAACAAAATCTTGTATTTTCACCTGGAAAAATGAAATTCACAGTTTCTGGTAGGTGCACGGAAAGTAGGTACTGAGATAACAGGAAAGTACCAAAATATGAGCCAGGTATGATAATAAAGCAAACAAACGTTTTAATTATAATCATTTCAAGTTAACTGGTGTAGTAAAAGAATACTAGTAAACCTGGTCAAGGTCTCAGTAAATAATTCCTGATCATAATCTAGGGTAGGGCAATGTTCTGCAACCCGTGGTCCACATATACTGTTGCTGGTCTGTCAGAAATTTTCTGCAGCATATTAACCCTTCTGCGGGAAAGGGTTCTTCCCCATTGCAGGACTAAGTAGGGATTTTCTTGGGTGTGCCTGTGTTGCATTTTTGTTAAAAACCATGAAAGCCCAGCTATAGGTGGGCTAAGGCAGAGTTGGACTTTTTTCAAGAAAACTATTGTGTTCAGATTTCCTAAATTTGGAATTTTTCTGCAAATCTAACCACTTTTCTGACATCAAAAATGAATTGATTGAGAGCCTTCCAATAAGAAAACTGATCCAGCCAGAAGATAAAAAAAGTTTAGCATCTAGGGTGGATTTGTTTTTTTTTTTGAGTGAAATGTGTCTGTCCTTTAAAAGATCACCTGGTTTTTTTCTGACTACGCCTGGATGCACTGTCCTTGCTGTACCTTTATATAAAAGATGTTTGTGCAGCAGGCACAAATTTTGTGGAAAAAGTCAAACTTTGCTGCCCACGGGATAAATTTATCAAAAGTAGCAATGTAGCTCATAATGTTGTCTGAAATTTATGAAAGACAATGTCAGTTGAAATTGTCTGATTAAATATAACACTTCAGGCAAATTTTCACCTGCTGAAATAAATTATTGTAAATTTTTCACTCTGAGAAACTTTTCTTCAAGCCCACCTAATTTTTTGAAGGCATTCCACTATAGCTGCTTTCACTGGTTCTTGATTTTTGCAAAATAGCAGAAACTTTTCAAATGCTTGCCATCAAGCAAAACTTTTTTGAGTCTGCAATAATTTCATGGAACTCTGCGGGCCTGCAGAAAATGTTTGACAAATTTGTTGGTCTGCAAAAGAATTTCTGGAAATTTGGTGGTAAGTGGGCCTAAAAGGGTTGGAAACAATGATCTAGAGCAGTAGTCCCCAACCTGTGGTCTGCAGACCACTGCTGGTCTGCAGAAATTTTTTGCTGGTCTGCACTCTGCAGGAAATTTTCTGCAGCTCAATAAATTGAGAAAAGTAGCAATGAAGTCCGTTATTTTTATCTGAAACCTTGGAAAAACAAATGGTAGTTGAAATTATCTACAGAAAACTTTAGTTAGCTTCTCGCTTATTTGCACTTGACAAAAATATGCACATGCTGAATAAATCAATTTAATTTGTGTAGTCTGAGAAACCTTTCTTCAAGCCCACCTTTCTAATTTTTTTAACATTCTTCTATGCACCTGCTTCATTGAATCTTAATTTTTGCAAAAAAGCAAAGACTTTTCAAATGCCTACCATAGACCTTTCTTCAAAAATGTTACAAAACTTTGCCAGTCCACAGACAATTTTAGCAAAATTTGCTGGTCCACAACAAATTCTAAGGCAATTTGCCGGTCTGCTGGCCCAAAAAGGTTGGAGAACACTGATCTAGGGGACAGTATTTGTAGGGGGAATATTCTGTCCCAAAAAGGCGGAAACCTCATTGATATGTCTCAAGAGTTCCGTTTCTCATCATTGTTCCTTGACGTGATGGGGCTTATTTTTTTCAAAAGATTGCTCAGAGCTTTTTTCCCCTCAAAAACACGAATATAAGCTTGGTTTAGAGAGTCTTCAGATTCTAGGATACATAGCCTTGATTTTCCTGACATGCGCGGGATTTCCTTATTCCCATTTCCAGCAATTGGGTCCTGAACTTCGGGCTGCTTTTCGAAACTGGTCTTGCGTGCTTATTGTCCTACACCCCAGGAATGGACAAAGCTATGAAAATGTTTCCGCTGATGTGAGTACAATTAGTTAGATTAATTACGAAACAACAATTGTTTCACCCGAAACTTTTCGTTCACTTTCAGGTTCCGTTGGTGGCTTCCTGCTCTCCCATTCAGTATAATCATCATCATCTATGACGAAACCAGGAAATACTTGATTCGGAAATATCCAGGGGGATGGCTTGAGAGAGAAACATATTATTGAGTGATCTTTTCCGACGAAATCGAAGTTTTAATTGAATTAGTCGAGCAATGAAGCAAAATTGAAAAAAAATGAGTCTTTTATTTCAATGATTTCAGATCATGATAATTGAATGTTTTCAGATGGAGCCTTCATTTAATCATCATCTTGGCACAAATGCCAGTACAGCTGTTTGCAGTTCTTCCAACTGATGTTCTGCAAGTCAGCAACTTGGCCAAAAATATCAACAGATTCCCTCATTAACCCTTGGACAGCAGAGGGTTCTTTCCCATTGGTTAGGGCCAAAATTGGATTATTTTTGTATGCTGTGGCGTTTTAAGTTTTGACTTCCAGTCTTTTCTGGAAGGTCCACCCGACTCCGTTTCAGCCCTAATTAGGCTCTTTTCGGGTAACGAATCGTACCGTAAAAAAAGAAAAACCCACAAAATTTTTCTGTGCAAAAAGAAAAAAAGATTGGATTTTTCCCCGACTTTGTCCTCAAACCCCTGTTGTCCTTTTTTCATTTTCTGCCCTGAGGTGTAACAAAATTTTGCAAAAATAGTCCAACTTTGCCATCCAAGGGTTAAAATTCACACAGTGGTACCTTGCCCAACAAATGCATTGCCTAACATTCAATCTGCTTAACAACCACTGAAAACCTTTGAAAAAAATGCCTTGCCTAATGACCATTGACCAACCTAGCAATTCATTGGTTATTAGGGATTCATTGGTTGTGAGATGGAACATTTTCAGGCTTTCTGCTGAACTATAATAAGTTCAGAAGAAAAAAACATTTTAATGCTCTTGTTTCTTACTCTCAACAAAAATGTTTTTTTCTCATGCATTTGTTGAGAGAAAGTGAGAAGAATCAGAAGATTGGAAGGAAATTGTAATTGGTGACATTCTACATAGGCCTAGATTGCTTAATGTGCCTTATGCAAAAGTGACATCTATTCAAAGTTAAACAGGAGGATTGACTCCTGTTTCACTTGTAGATGTTGCATATGCATGAAGTACAATTGCTCCGAATTTTTGAAAGAGAGCAAAGCAATTTATTAAGTAAAAGTAGTTGAATGAACTATAGCAGTGTTTTTTGGGATCTGTGCTTTCTTATTTTAAAATTTAGGCAAATGTGTATGCTTTTCTGCCAGAATTTTTTTCTCAGGAGCCAAATAATGGGTTTCACATTAATCCTCAAAGGAAAATTTGACCCACTGTAGAACCGTTTCACCCAACAACCACAGCGCAGGAACAAATTGTGGTTGTTTGGCAAGGCACCACTGTACTATGTTTTGGAGTGACTGATTATTGCAGTTCATGTCATTTTTCCAGAAGGTTCCACCAAAGTTATAGTCATGTGACTGTTGAAAACTATAATAACAAGAACAATGTGCTGGTCTGCAGAATACAAAGTTCTCTCTTGAAGGGAATTTTTCTGGTCCCTTGAATTCCATTGTCAAGAGAGTCCATGCACCTGCACACAAGGATGTTGAAAACAAACTCAGAGGTGGAAAAAGGTTATTCAACTGCTGGAATGGCCGCGAAAGAAAAATGAACGGAATATATGCACGGCATATTTTTTTTTCCTTTTTTCTTGCATGCATTCCATTTAAATTCACCAAAACCGGTCTGTACCTATCTCAGTGAACCCAAGAATGCTTCAGGCCACTCATCATCGGGATTGGAACTGAAAAGTCACACTTTATTGCGGCAGTTCTCCATTGCTGTTTGAACTTTCCAATAACTTACTGCTGACAAAATGAAGGTCTTGTTTGTGATCCTGGGCGTGATTTTCTGCGTGCAACTGGCCCAGGCTGGATTTGGGTCTTTCGATTTCATAGAAGTGGACTATTTGAATCAAAAGTTCTCATTATCGCCGGTTCATCGCATGTTCCTGGGCATTTTCCTGATGGCCATGGTGATGCTTCGAGTGATGCAGTACACTCCGATTTTCTGAAGGTCAGAAAAGACCTTCCAGGTGGGCTGAGGCAAAGTTGGGATTAATGCAAGAAAAGCCCATTGCTTAGCATGGCATTTTTTTCATTTTCCCACAAAATTTTTCTGTGCAAAAAGAAAAAAAACATCAGATTTTCCCCGACTTTGTCCTCAAATCCCTGTTGTCTCTTTTTT